AATGGTCAATCAGCACCAATTGCGTTGCAAACAATTATTTAAAATCCGTTTTGGAACGTAATATTTTGTGATATAATTTTTGAAAATGGCTGTGGTCGAGAACTGAGAAGTTATTATTATTTTAAAGTTTTATATAAAGTTGAGTGTTCAGTAACCTTACCAGTAAACATTTGTCTGTGTTTAGTTAGGGGAAGGAATATGGGTTAGTATATTGATTATTTCTCAACTCAAAAACTTTGAATTCAACATGTCACTATGACATGACTTGAGTATCAACTTATAACTTAAAACGTTAGTCTATATTATTGGGAAATTGAATAATACGTAAGACAAACAACAGTTAGCCGATTTAATACTCATAAAAAATCAAACTTCCCAAGAAAAGAGAAAAATGCTGTTGTCATTTTAATTTCTAAAGCAGTAGGGTAACATAGGATGACCATAAAATTTGGGAGTTGCTAAGGATATACAGGGCAATTCATTACGGATAAGACACTTATTTTTTCGGAAAATAATTACAATTTTATAGTTTTCCTTTTTAAAAACATTTCTATTTATATTATTGTATAAAATTATCAAATGTTTATCTTTGTTAGTATTTTCCGCAATGCTATCGACTTTTGAAACTTAAATGGAACGTATACATTTAATTAACTTTTTAAATAAAGAATATTTTACTGAAAATGTTGACTGGTCGATAACTACTTTTAAAGTTAAAAAAAGCTTAAAATAAAAAAAATGAGAAAAGATGGATTGTAGTATTATTCTACCGTACTCTACTTCCTACCCTATACTCTAAACTGTAGTAGTTTTAAAAGTAATTATCCAAAAATGGTTATCGACCAGTCAAAATGTTCCTACGGTTAACATGTATACTTGAAATACTTGAAATGTAAACTCCTGCTGTAAGAAGTTTAATGAATAATTTTGTACACTATAGGCATTTAACTTTGAAGCAAGTACTAAAATTATTTATGTTTCGTAATTTAAGTAACGTGGGAAAGGAATAATTTCAGTTTACTAATTGATATTGTTTTTTATAGTTTCATTATGTGTTCATTTTGGTTTCATAATTAGTTTAAAATAAGTTTACGATATAAGTTAATTATAATGAGCATAAAAAAAAGGCGCGTAGAAATCTGAAATATCATCGAAAAGAGCACAATTTTACTTTAAACACGTGTTTTGTATATTGCTAACAAAATATTATCTGTTTATTAAAACCGTACTGCGTATATACCCAACGAACATTTATACTCAAAGATTTGAACAAACAGGTTTTCTAGTGGTATTTTAGTTAACAGTTCTTGATAGAATCACAAAAACAGTCGTCAGTCATTATATAATTTTTAAATTAATGGCGTTGTATAATTTAAATACATCAAATAAATGAATAAATTAAATAATTTGTATATACACTTCAATAAAGCAGCTTTCAAATATATTTTGATCTAGACTACTGAAATATTGAAAAAATTTTTATTGCTTGGAAAATTAGTTTATCATTTGAAGAATGAGCTCCTAAATTTTCAAAATAAAATTCGAAATCTAAACGTACCTATAGCCTTACTACTACTTTTTATAAATTTTTTAGCTAAATATGTTTTTAACTATGTCAATACTGTATTTAAAAACAACGAATTATTAATATTAATATTAAAAGTCAATACAATTTCAATGGTATAGTGCACAAGCCACAATTTTATAGGTGCACTATGCCATCGGTATCCTTCATATATTATACATGTGCTTTTTAAGATATTTGTTATGCTCTTTTGGTATTATCAATTTGTGTTCATTTGAATTATTCCATAACAAATTTTGTATATATTTTGGATAGTTTTTTGACATTTGTATGTCTTTGCTTTGGCACACAAACGGAAAAATCGAAACCGGTAATTATAACGAAAATATCAGCTGACTTATCTAATAAGATAAGAGATTAGAGATAAGGAATAGGAGATAGGTTTTTACTTTGGAACACAACCATTTTTGGAAATATCCGACATTTGGAAATATCGACACTTTTTATCATAACGAAAATTTATCCTTAAACCTTATACATTCTTCTTATAAGGATGAGGATGGGGATTGGGATGTTAAATTTTTTAAATTATGTGTTGTTTTCATAACGAACAAACTTGAATGAATGGTTAAATTGATTCAAAATAACCAAGTAAATGTTTTGCCAATAAATCGATTAAGGCCAATTATTAAAAAACTACTAAAAAATTTTTGGCCACAACATAAAGTTAATCGTCACCTACCTTTTAAGTACCGTGGTTACCATTGTTACAAACCAAGTGTTTATTTTGGGTTAACAACGAAAAATATTTAAAGAGGTATCAAGGCGTACGCGGAACGAGACATAAAAATGTATCCCGAGGTGTTGCAGACTCGTACGCAAGCTGTTAAAATATAATATGTGATACCTATGTGAAACCCTTTAATAGCCTTGCTAACATTTCAAATTTTCTCTGTGTCCTCTTTTGGTTTTGTACATAATATCACTTTTTGGAATCTTATGGGCGTATTTTAGTAAAGTATGCTTTTTCGGGTAAAGTTGAAACATACACGATACAATTTTGCAATAAAACGTACGTTCGTCGATCTCGTCGTTATCACACGTCGGTAGGTACTCTACACAAATAGAACAACACACATTCTTCACTCCGGTAAAAGCACTTAACGATTGTACTTGCCTATGCACGCATTTATTTTCCTGTACAAATATTATTCACTACAGAATCGCTTAAAATGGCAACAGATTGCGTGTGCTCGTTAATTGTTTTCTTTCCAACGGCGGAACAATACTAATTACAAAAGAACACAAGTGGCCACCCGCCGACACCGCCGTTGGCAAAGCATTGATATCTGCTTTCTGTTAAGACTTTTACAAACACTTGTTTGTATGTTTGTGTATATAATATACACTATATAACTATGCGTTTGTGTAGTATTATATACAACTGAACAATTTGTACGCACTTTCTTGTTTTTGCACCTTTAACGCTTGCGTACGTACACGATTTATTACACTCACTATATATTATATACTAGGTGATCCATTTAACGTAGGACACTCATTTTCTTGGAAAATGATTACAATTTTGTAGTTTTTCTTATTGAAAACATTTGTGTTTATGTTATAAAACTACCAAATATTTACCTAGTTAGTATTTTCCAGAACGCTATGAATTTTTGAAACTTAAATAAGACCGTAAAATTTATTTTAAAAAAATAATTGTTAGTTTTGAAAAATAATTGCATCGCTAACTGCAGAAAACACATATCATTTTTTTTTTAAATTGCTTTATGCTGTTGTTACAGCCTGAAGAGATATTTGAATCGCTTACTACGGAAAGTTCCAAGTCCACTTTTTCTAAGTTTTCAGGAAACACAAAAAACTAAATAATACATACATACATAGTATAGGATTTTGAAAATTCCGAGCGCTATTTTTAGACGTTTGTGGTTGGTCGGATTTGTCTCTTTTCTGCAATAAACGATGCATTTACGTGTGCTTAGTTCAAAGTGGTAATAAAATCAAAATTGATACAAATGGACTTGTCCCCTTTCTGTAGTTAGCGATTCATTTACTCAATGAGTGAAGAGACGACACTAGTTGGTTACTAAAAAAAATTTTCATGGCTAGCGAGCAAGAACTTTTATTAGTACCTACAGAAACATTAAAAAATGCATCAGTTTTTTAAAATCAACGTGTATTTTCTGCAATCAGCCATTCAATTACTTTTAAAGTTATTAAAATTTCAAATTTAATGGAAGAGAGGTTGAAATGTAGTATTATTATTATTATATACACGCGTTACTCAGACGGGACACCTCAGTCCTAATTTTTTTAAACTTTTAAGTAATAATTATTCAAAATTGGTTATCGGTCAGTCAACATTTTCAGCAAATAATACTTTAAAAAGTTAATTAAATATTCTATACATGACCCTATATGTTTTAAAAGTTCATAGCGCTCAGAAAAATACTATAAAGGTAATTTTATAACATTATAAAATAACATAAATAAAAATGTTTTCAACAAAAAACTTTTTTACAAAAAGTTGTAATTATTTTACGATAAAACGAGTGTCTTACGTTAAATAGATCACGTGTATAGTCTATACGTTTGTCTACTTCATTAGAACGCGCATATAAAAGAAACTCGTTCTCTTGAAAACCCTCCTAAACGTAACTGTATGAGCTTTATCTTCTGAGATTATGAGACCGCATGGGCACTTTATTTATTTTATAGTGTAGACAAAAAAGTAATCCGTCGGGTCAATTTTTCCGATGTTTGTGATTCTTGGCCACCGTCGTCAAAAAAGTGATAACAAAGCGCATGAACAATTTCCGCCAATCAAGGAAATTATGAAACCTAATCGAAATACATTTTCTTCCGGTTTTGTGTTTTCTCTGGTCACGCAAAGACGTGTTATGTGCAGTAGACACTGGACTGGGCCAACGTCACTAGAGGTGACTGTTAGAAGGAAAAGAGGGATTATTTTTTTCTCCTTTCCGCGGGTCCTGCATAAAGGCAGAATATGGCAGGATATAGCTATAGATTTGTTTTTATTATTATTTTTATTCAAAGTTCTTCTATCTAATCCATCCAAATGATCGAGTGTCTGTGTGTGTGTACATTGGAGACAAGAAATAATGAGCTTATGAACTTTCGACTAAATAAACTTTTCGACTCGGCCGGCGTTCAATTTTTCGCTAAATTAAACAACGCCGAAATCACCCCCTTCCCCACTCCAGCTATGTCAACCGAGATACTTCGTACTTGATCAGTGAGCGTGTGTACGACCATCGGACGCACGGCGCTTGCGACCCGGTCCGTGCTGTCCGTTACACCTAAAATATGCTCCTGCTACACAAAACTTTATTTATTTTTCACTTAGTTTATTGGAAAAACTTTTATTTTTCTTATAAACCGGCTACGTGTCTGTTTGAAATATTGTTTTTCTAGTTTCTTATTTTATACTTACTGGCGGCGTCCGTCAACCACAGACCATACGGGTACCACTTCCAGTATATGTAGTAGTCAGCGTCCACGATCCAAGGGTAGTTCTCGAACGATATGGTAAACACGAATAGCAAGTAGAACAGATCAGACACGGCCAGTGCCGTCAGATACGTGCTGGTGGAGCTCTTCATCGGTTCTCGGGTCAGCACCACCACGGACAACATATTGCCCACTACACCTACGGCGACGACAGCTGGAAGTAGCGCCTGTTGTGCCCAAAAATGTACTGCCTTTCGAAAATAGCAGTACTTTTGGGTCTGCGCTATTAATTCCGCACAGTTCTCCATGGTCATTGGCGCCTATAAGAAAAGAAAATAGCAAAATCAGTTTTGTTGGGAACCACCATGTTATAGTTGATGCATCTGTACTTCTTTTTTGTGAATACTGGTGAATACGTAGAAAGCTTAGTGCATTTAACCTAAACTTTCAAACTTTTACAGAATCGAATCTTCAAAATCGCCAATTAAAACAAAATAAACCCGCTGGTCCGCGTTTTAGTTATTTAATTTTGAGGAACAAAGCTTAAAAGAGTTTTGGGGATTGAAACTCTAATTCCCCCCTTTTTTTTTTACTTAATAATGGTTGATAAAATACTTTTATTATAAGAATTTTTTTTTTTTAGAACCCTAACACAATTAAAAATGAAGTTATTTTGTTCATTAAGACTACCATTCAATGGCCATATTAGCACGATAAGCACCGACGGCATACTTTAAAGAATTTTGTAATGAATCTATGCTAATAAATTAATGTACTAAAATATTGTTTATTAATTTTAATAATTTATTATTAAACCGAAGATAACGAGCTGCTGTAGAATTAAGTCCTAAGTTCACTGCAATAATAGTACTTTTGTAGACGACAGCTGAATGGGTTTTCTAAAGAACATTATGAAAGAACAAAAGGGTAAATAATTCTCTAACTGCATGAATTGACCGGGTGCGTTTTAGTCGAAAGGTTTGCAGCTCTCATAATCATAATAGGTCGATCGTGGTTTTAAAGGTTCAGACGAAAGCTCAATAGACTTTCTTTATATTATTGATTTTCGAATTTCCAACATATTTTAAAAAATATAATGCATATCACATCTAGCTTAGTTTTTTTCGTGGTAGCAGGTTTGTTTAGCAGTAAATTATAACTTTATTTTATGTTGAAATCTCGTTTCAGGAAACGTTTAATGCAAAATGAAAATTCGACGAACAAACCTTATACGCTTAACTGTTGTGTTTTAGTCATTTAACGGATAAACGCAAACATGTTTTACATACAAAACGCGACAATATTATTTCTTAGAAATTTTGCGATGACTTGGGTAGTTTTTCATTAAGATAAAATTCTGATTATGTCTATATTTTAAGAAGTTTGTTTTAAAATGTTTTATGCGCCGAGAACCTGAAGTTTTTCTAAAAACAAATCGTATGATTTAAATGCAAGCCGCACTTGTTGTGTGTAAAATTGTAATTCTGAATTCAGACCCTTCCTCGATGCAAATGTATACATAAGAAAACGATTTGTAGTGTCAGGTGTTTGTGAAATTAATATTACCGTGGTTATTGTATAATTTTGCAAGCACGGGATTTGACAGCGTACAAAGTACTTTAATATTGAATAGTTAGGTTTAATAAAGTATTAATACGCATGCGGCTGATGCGCGTTTAATTTATTCATGTCGTCACATTATCACTTCTATGTATGTATATTAAATGTAAAATTTATTATTTTCCTTATGTTATATATTGTCGTTAATATAATGGGAGAATACAGCGGCCTCCCCTTTGTTTTTAAACAATTATAGGTATCGACGAGTGCACAATACAGCCAAGAAGTTTTCCTTGAAAGCGTCTATAACGAAGCGTATATATTCCCTTTTGAGAATGAAATTGCATCACGTATCACGGAAGCGGTAAAGATTCCAAACCAAAAGGGTAAGCCGGCTTAATTATTTTATTTCTCCAAACTCCGGACCACATAGGAAATAATAAAGAACACCTTTACGGAGGGCTGATACTGGTCAGTATGGTTTTATTCTACGACGCGGTACATTATGTTGTGCAAAGGAAAAACTTCCCATATATATATTTTTTTTTTGGTTATTCGCTATATCTCTGGGGAAACTTTGACGTGGAGTTCTTTTGCACAGTATCTCAGGGCTAACAAAAAAATTTAATAATATTGACAAAAAGTTCACCCGTATTCAATGTTCAGTCAATGGTATTTTCTTACTTCTTTTTTTTAACGTTAATGCAATACTATGATAATACATTTTTTATCGATACACACTTCTGATCATATTGTTAGCAATACAATACATCTATTTGTATAGTAATCTAACATCACTTTAGGTGTAGGACTTTTTTTTAGAAGGCCTCTAATTTTATTGAACACATTGATATAATATGTATAAAAGTTTTAACTTTATTTATTATGTGATATGTCCTTAGTAAATTACGAAATGTTCGTTAAATTTATAGTAGTACGATAAAATTATATAAAATTGTGAACATTAATTGTTATACAAATATTTACTCATATTCATATTTTTAAATTAACCTTTGACTACGTCTCTGTAATTTTGTTTTTTTTAATTATTAATTGGCATAATAAGTATAATGTTTTATATTACTTCGTATTCACCCCTTAATTGTGCCTTTCTACTTTCAAATAAGTAGGTATTAAATACTTTTATTTAAAAATTATTGTGAATACATTTTTTTTAATTGTTTGGTCCATAAACAGTATAAAACATTTTAATAACTTTTTACAATCATAAATACAACTAATTATAACTATTTATTATAATAATAATACTGTTTGTTTATTCTTGATAACTAAAAATGAAATCAAATGCTAAGTAGAAATTATTAATCTGGAATTGCAAGTCAAATATAAAAAGTATTTTTATTTTACAATATAATATTCTACAATATTTTTGATCAATCAATATTTTGTACGTTTTGATTACGATTACATTTTAGGATCAGTATTAAACAAAATAATCCTATTTACACCATTAACAAGTCTTCTTCTAATTAAAATTAAAACAAATGTATAAACTATAGTTATTATTTATCACATTGTATTTTATAACTTCCCAATTTTTCCTCTTCCCCTATTTTACCTTTGGTGTTACTTAATAAAGATTTATATTATGTGATAAATTATATATAGGTCAGACAAAACGAAATATTTGGGTTATGATTAAAAACATATTTTAATGAACATAAAATATTTAAATCTCCTGATGTGGAACAATATTATTTTTATTAATGTTAGCTAATGCATTAATCATCATCTAAAATTGGTAAAATTACTTAAAAGTGTAAACAGTACTAAAGAACTTAATATTAGAAAGGCGACCGAAGTTTAATAAATAAGATCAATTTGTTAAACTCGACTTGTCCATAAAAACATTTTACTACAATTTTTAAAAACACGTGCTAACGAGTACTTCCGATATGACGCTGCTGTATAAGTGTAGAGCGAAGTTGTTAGCTGTAGTCGATGCACTCATTTTTATCGCCATAAAAATATATCTCTATGAAACGGCTAAATATGCGTAAATTATTTCATTTTTTCGTATAATGATAGAGGGTTATATTATTTCCACAATATCTTTTTGCGATAAAAAATAAAATTATAATACGTAGTGACTTTTGGCATCAGTCAGAAAGATGTTATTTCGCTGATACATATGACGTGGCCCTATTTATCATTTGTTTATGGCGTTAGACATATGGAACGACACGCGGTAAACACAGCAAAAGAAACGTATTTTGTTTGTACACACTCTCAAATAGGCAACATGTATGCAACACTTGTCGCTGCGGAGAAAAAATTGATTGAACATAATTTGCACACAGTGAGGAATTATTGCTGACGGCACACTCACACAACATTCAATGGAAATAGATCGGTCGGCTATTAGTGTTCCCGTGAACGCAAACAATGTCAAAATAGTAGGAAGGTACACATATACAGCTGTATTCAATAGTTGTTGCCTATTCATATAGATTTGTCAGTATCGGAGACCGAGAATTGTTGCCGAGGATTGTATTTACGCATTCATCACTTTTTTCTCTCCTACACCTATATACATAAATAAATAAATGTATATATATTATATGGCTTGTACAGTGAGATCAATAAACACAATCTATGTGATGATTGAGTACCATTCATTCGTCATTCGGTTTTTTTTGGTTTTGTGCACGTGGTCCACTATTTGCCTTGGACTCGCAAACCGAGAGAAACGGGAAGAGAAGTATAACATTTGACATAAAAATAACGCATTCCGTGTACACCTATGATCTGTTTTCAACCCAATAAACCCTAGAGGCTAGAACGTAATGTAATAAAGTCGATTCGGTTTTTTTTTTCAATAGCTCCATAATACCACAAGTACCAAATATTCTTTAATATCATATAAAAGCACTTGAGATTACAATCCTACACATAAGTCATAACACATTCCTGTATAATATAATTATTATGTACCCATATGACAAATAAAAACCCCAGTATAATAAAGTGAGAGGCATGATGGGGACGGCGAGGTCACATTTGAAACTGTAGGTAACAACTATTATACATCAGAGTAAATAATTTTTTGCCAATATTTAATGTGTTATTTGAATTTTCTTCTTTTTGGATTTTCTCGATAAAATAAAGAGATTACAGAATTACTTAGTTTAAAAAAAAATAAAGTATTGTTTATGTGAATAACATTATAAGTTAAAAATAATCTCATAAAAATTTTAACTAACCAATAAGACAATTCGTAATATTAAAAACAAAAAAAAGAATAACTAAAATAAAGAAGGAAATCTGTAAAATTACTAATTTAAATTAATTAATGTGCCTTACATTAACGTTATCAGTTGGTGTACAAGTAATATTGTAAACAAATTTTAAAAAATCACCATAAGTAAATGTTAATAAATAGAACAACAATTGAAGACCTTGGGGCAACAACAAGACATGTCCTTTTTTTTTAATTTTTTTTTTTTTCAAAATGTTTTTAAACCCAAAAATTTGTTTTCAAAATATTCTAAACATTTTTTTTTTTCAAAACGTTTTAAATTCTAAAAAAAGATTGTTTAGAATATTTTGAAAAAATGTTTTTGGGTTTAAAAACATTTTGAAAAAAAAAAAAAAATTTAAAAAAAGGACATGTCTTGTTGTTGCCCCAAGGTCTTCAATCGCTATATTTTTATTTTATAATTTATCTCTTAGATGTGTGGTTTATTTTCTCTGTCATTACCAGTAGCGCTTTTGCTGATCCCCAAATTATTGCTTTGAT